ACCTGCTAACTTATCTTTGTGCATTCACCACATCAAAATATGCTACAAACTAAATCTTGACTAAACTAGCACCAAACCAAGGGACAGGAAACTTTACTTCCTAAAATGATTATGTATTGGATTACACATAAAATATGCATCTGGTACATGGTAAGTAAAGTGAGATTCTTGTGTCCACAATAAAAATAAATAACAGCTAACTTAAATAAAAAGTTTGAAGATGATTAAAGATGCTGTATGACATTATATGGCTTGTTAAAGTGGTCTGTGTCTGGAGCAGGGTAATTATCATGAATAGGTCACACAGATCTTAATGAAGGTCCTCACTCGGAGCTGTTGAGGTGAGGATAATGGTGACATTACACATTTCAGCACATGTCAGGGCTCAATATTGAAACAATACGGCCAACCTGCCGCACCTTCTCATTCTCAATTATCACTAATGGAAGATCAGTGCTGACATAAAACCTGCTCATTAAACAAAATAGTTTCCATTCAAAATGCACCACCTCTCTATATTTAGAAAGAATTTGTAACATAGAAGGAACATTTTCTTTAAAAATCAGAAAGAGGAGAAATGCCTTGGTGTGACAAGGCTTGATCAGGGCTCACATTAATGCTATGATTCATGCGTTTCAAATAGAGGCTCCAAATTGGCATAAGTGACGATGGAGACAGTGTCCCAGGGGCACGTTGTCCAGACAGTCGGATATGTGTGAGAATGAACATTAACAAGCTTTCTTTCATTCTGCAGATCCTCCATACACCCACCAACTTTTATGCATCTTATATTCTTTCATATTTTAACCAAAGACTTCCATTTTTCCCAGATGATAAACAGCTCTTAATGACCTCAGATATTTTTGTATGTTTACTCAAGTGTGTTAGTATCCACCCCAATAGATTTATGGCATTGCTTTGGGAGTCTTGGCAGCACAACAGTTTCAACAAACCACTGACTTGCCTGCTTGATTAACAGGAGGTGAAAGGGTCTCTTTTCCTTGATAACCTTCACATCCCAACTTTAACATCTTACATTTTTCAGATAACACATGCTGGGCTCAATAATGCTTCAAACCTGGTTTCACCAGGATTTCACCACTGCACTTTGTGATGGACCCCTTCATCTTCACTCAGGTCTGCTGGACTCTTCATCACTATACTTCATCACCTGAACATTCTGGCGTTTTGGCTTAGTCTTGTTATTGCATCTCTCCTTTCACTTTTGCCAAAGGAGTATTACACTTAAGAGCTTCTCATCAAGTTGCCAGATCATTTCATCACCAAACTGTAGGAAATCATTTCAGACAAATAATGTGGAGAAGATATTCAGTAATGTAACAAACTAAATCTGAAACCACAATCTTTATTGATCACAGGCTTCACTGGGTACCTACTACAATGCCATCATTTCCCACAATGCAACTGGAGACTAAGATCAATATTGTGACGCTGCATTGCTGAAACACAGGTCAATAAGGTGAGTTTGGAAGGATAGAGTGATGATCTCACATAAAGCAAGAATAACAAATATGCAAACATATTATACGTGCATCAGCATCAGTAAGTGTTCAAATACACAGATGCAAGTACCACCCAGCAGGTACAACACACTACAAGTTTACTTTAGAAGTAGACTAAAAAACAAAACTATACCTTTAAACAAAAAAGAATGATAAAGTTAATCATAACCTTAAAGATAAATTTAATGCTGTACTATGGGATATTCTAGCCATATTATATTTTCAAAAACATAAGATTACACATATTACAAGGTGAAGACTACATTTAGTTTAAGTTGAAAAGTATGTATGTATTTAGTTGAAGCAAGAAGAAACGTAATGAATCCTTGGATTCCTCTAATCTTGACAAATATAGTGTAGGTCATGCTTGAGTGGTCAGACACGCTCAGACTTAAATGATGATTTCCTTTGTATTAGACCATCATCGACATTAAAGATTACCTGTGCAGAATGTAACCTCTAGTCTTCTCTACCTAATCTATTTAGTTATAATAGTATGCTGTTCATGACTCATTCATAGCCAGTGACTCATCTGTCAGTCCTGACCCTCATACCTCCTCCTCTACCTCAACTCCTTATTGCATTACAGAACATGGCCACTGATTCAAGATGCTACTGCTGTGATCAGACATCGGTGCAAGGTTAAAAGTTGTAGCTTCCCAAACCAAATATTATGTTAAGAGAAGATGAAAAAAGCAACGGGATGTAACAGTTTATCCTTTAGATTATTTTAGAGGATGTTAGAAATTTAGAGAATAAACTGAGAGGAAATGCATTTACGTTTATGCAATGTCAGTCGAGGAATTCCAATCTACGTTCCAAAGATCACTATAATGATATATTTTTTTAAATTGCAGAATTGGCTTGAAATGGTAACAAACAGTCCAGACATTGGGTTTACCATCCACAGATGTTAGGAGCTGAGATAAGGGCCAATATAAACTGTATAGAGAGTGTGAGTGAACGCGGTCACAGAAAAGCAAATAGACTGCCATAAATGAAGATCCTCATTTCCTCTTTGCTGCTGTTGCAGATGTAAACTCCATATCGCTCCAGTGACAACTGACACAACATCTGCTTGTTCTCATTCTTTCAAAAGCACACATCAAAACACATTTCAGATCGAGTTCATTCACCGCCTGACATGCAATGGCCCAATCACAAACAGATGCACCACAATATTATGTTCATTTACATTGGAAGGAATGCTGCATGCAGAAAAAGTACTTTCCTGAGTCACATTGTTTAGTTACTTACATAATATTTAAAGATGGAAGGCTAGGCTACCTATGCAATTTTTGTAGTATTGATAGTAGGAGAGATTGTTTCAGGAAGTATTTTCTACTTTAATATACATTTACAGTGATATTTAGACTGCTAAGAGTGATGATATATGCTGTAGTTGTGGTAGTGACTCTAGTGTCTTTGCTAATTTGTTTTTAAACATATATGTTAAGATTTGTTCATTAGTTTATTCTTGTAGTTTATTATTTACTTACATTTCTTACACGTATACTGCATGCAAACTGTCACTCTGATATAAAAGTTATATAAAAACTGAGCTTCATTAAAAAAAAATAATAAATAAATAAATAAATAAATATATATATATATATATATATACATACACACACATATATATATATATATATACATACACACACACACACACACACACACACACACACACACACACACACACACACATATATATATATATATATATATATATATATATATATATATATATATATATATATATATATATATAATAGATAGATAATAGATAAAGCATTATAATAATTTGTGGCACATAGAAACACTTTGGACTTGGCCAGTGGTTGGGAACCTTTTGAAGACAGTTGGAGTGTATTAGAGGGAGTAATCCCTAATAACTGTGTCAGTTTCTTGGCCAGTGTCTTTTAGGTGTGTTCCACTTAAATTCATTAATCTTACTCAAAGTGTTGGAAAACCTTTGAGGTTAGGGGTCAAAGAGGGTACATCGCAAGACAACGTTTAACACATTCAACTACGTCCTTATCTTAAAAAGTGCACAGAAATAATATAATATTTTCTTAGGTCGTAGTTTTCCCTTGTGGTAAATGTTGTTGTTCAAGCATTTTTGGACTCTCTGTTTTGAGCACGTACACAGTTCCCAGCCCCTTCGTGTTCTCTTTAAAACAATATCGTCATCTTCTCAGACCTCCAACAGGTGTTCCTTCGACAGTCCAAAGTGGTTTCACCCTTAGGATTACATCTGCTTTTCCCAGCTTGTTGCAAAATTGAAAGTGAGAATGACAGACTACAGGCTTATCTTTTAAGAAGCATGACTTGGTGAATTTGGCAAACCAGTTAAAGCCAATATTTTTTAAAGATAATTTGAGTTAAATTGAAGATAATGTCTTAAGTAGTTTGTTTTGACTTTAATCTCAGATACCATTAAGCATGCTTTAATACTTATTCCCCATAGAGGTGGTCTAATACTGTTACTAACTGAGCCTGGCAAAAAACCTTATTTCCTTTTCCACACATTAATAACCATCAAACCAGCTACTCATGTACCTCAGCTACTACAAACAGCATAATAAAGACTGTGGAGTGTCATATTTGGATGAAATCTGAAAAATAAAGAGAGATTGATATGAAATGATCCTTACAAGTGCTAACTTGGAGGTATTGGCTGAATAAAAATATCACTAATAACATTTGATCTAACCTATTGAATCCATTGTGCCATCTAGTGGAAGAAACAAGAAACTAGATCTTGTTTAGATCGATATTTTTAGTTGATATCTGTAGAAGTTGTAAATCTTTGAAAAGGGGATATGCTCTAATTAAAGTTATGTTTTTTGTGGATGCAGTTTGTTATTTAACCGCTAGATACCAAAATAATTAAACATGTGATTTGGGATGCTCGAGGCAAAACGTAACTTCCCCTTTTGCACACAGGATCTAGCAAAAACATGGAACAAAATGTAATACGCATGACAAACAGTGACTGATCAATCTTCTGAAATGTTCTGGATATTTTCCCACTGGGGATAAATCTGACAAAGTAACAGCCTCCTAAGCTTTACAGTGACAGGTGGGGGGCTCTACAGTGAGGTTAAGTGGTCTGTGAGCTTAAGCTGCTACCGACAGTGGTACCTTCTGCAGACTGGCTGGTAGAAAGACCCCCTCAGGCTGGCCCCACAACAGGTCACAGGACTTGTAAATGTACCGCTGGAAGTGGTCAGAGGGTTGTTCTCATTTTGGAATGTGAAGTATTCCCCTAATTAAATGGCACGATATTTTGTGATTAAACTGGCTTTGGCTGTTTCTAATTTGTTTATTTTCCATTAGTAGCACAAGGGGAAACTCATGATCAGTCCAAATTTACAAATTACACCACGTACTGCTATTCAGCTATTATCATTGTGAATATTGTACTGACTTTTTGGAGATAATAAAAATGGCTTCAAAATAATATATAAACAATGGCACTCAAAAAGTTTAATGTCCTTTCAAGTTTCAATAAAACACATATAGTTACATACAGCATATACAAAAATTACCCTTTATGGCCCCTTTCTGCTCTTTCATAAGTCCTTTTGCAGTAACCAAAAAACATTTCTTCATTCCAACATTTGGGATTAGGATTAAGGATTCGTTTTGATCAAATCCATTTCAGGAAATAAATAGGTCAGTCAGTCTTTTCACGCTTTTGTCTGTGCATCTTCCTTTTAAGCTGCAGAGTTTTCAGCTCAGTCATAGCGGAAAATGTCCTGTAGACCCACACCATCTAGACAGCAAAAGCACAGGTTAAATGTGTTATAATTAATGGACAAAGATGTTGGCATCTACTATTAAAATTAACTTTTCAGATGGGGTCCATCACCTGCTTGTTTCTGTGGATATGTCATTGCTCTGCCTTATACATTAAACAGCACTACCTTACATTTATTCAATTACAGATGGTTTTATAGCCCAAAAATACATGAAAAAACATGCATTCCAACTGTGCCTCTCCTCAGATCTGACCTGTAACTTAGTCTGGTTTGTTCTCCATGGAAACAGAAATATTTAATGCCATACTGTGAAACATTCCTGACAAATACACAAACAATATGTCCATGGAAAAAAGCATTTGACAGACCATCCACCAAAAATTTACACAATGTACCTTTAAGGAATATTACTTACAACAATAATGACTGTGTTCATCAAAAGAGGAATGGAGAATACCAAAGATATGAACATGCCCTTGGAATCAAAGTATTGAAAATTAGAAAAGGACCTGAAAAACAAAAAACATGTAATTATAACCTGGTGAATGTACTTCATACACTGCCTAATAACAATATTACTATTACCTCCAGTTCATAGCAGCCAACTCGTTCAAATACTCTGCACTGTACACTAAACCGGCTGTAAGAAAAGTACATATCAATTATGAATTGGTTAGCACAATAAATAAAATAAAATAATATAAAAACCTACCCATGAGCACGAAGTGACATATCTGTGCTTTGTAGAATTTGCATGTCACCAGAGTCACAAATAAACACACAACATGAAAGCTAACCAGCCCTATGAGCCAGGGCTCCGACCACTGCACCTATGATAATAAAAGAATACATAATAATCCAGTAAGAAAATCCATGATTTGTACTGAATCCCGTGACACACCACAATATATGCACGCACGATTTACTGTGAAATAAAATGAAGAAGTGTACTTACAGACATGAGAAAAGTCCATATTGATGTAATTCTTAAATTGCTAAAGCCATCTATTGGAATCGAGCTAATATTTTGTGCCTTTGGGTCTGCCATCACACAAAAACACGACAATTACAAAATTAAAGTTAGCTTAGCTATGGCGCTAATCAGTAAACAGACGAATGCGGAAGAAACTGTAAGTCGCATGAAAATTACGTCAGCGAAGGACCTCTCGTAGAAAAATTATTCTTTTTTTAAAATAACAAATGTATTATACATTTGTACTGAGACGTATAAATAGTGATATAAAGTAACTGAATACACTTACCAGGAATACGTATTCAGATTACTAATTCTTTCAGTAGTGAATACAAGAGTGATTTTTTCTTCTCCATTCAGTGATATGAAATGCATAACAGTGAAACAAATATAAAGCTGTTTCTAATGCATTGTTGCATCTTTATTCTATTATTTAAATACAATTCAATGCAAAAGTATTAAAATTTTTAACTGGTCCATGTATCGGGATAAGTTTGAAAATATTTTAATGCAGGTATTCAGTATTCTGTAACTAAATACATTTTCAAATTATTCTTTCCATCACTGCATACAATACACCTGTAATTATCTGGACAATAATCACTAATAAAAACACACAAAAAAAAACAACTCATAGGGAAGAATTATGAAAACATTAGTTTATTTACACCTGACAGCTTATTTAGCTCTACAACACCATGTTTTGCACCTTCTGTACTAAGGTGGACCCTACTTGCTGAAAGTTCCACTCAAACAACTCTACAATTTAATTACCACCAACAGTTTTCCAGTTATAAATTCCTCTCTGAACTTACCATTTCAGTCTTAAAAGATGGAAATTAATACAATAGGCCTAACATATACAATAACATAATATATGATATTGCCACTGTATACACAATACTGTAAATACATCGACCTCTCTGTTGTTCCAGTTGATGCTTGTTTTGATGGAACTGATTGAAATGTTACAAAGGAGTTTCATGCAGATATCTTGGTCACTCAAAAGCAGCACCATGTACAAAATATAGCATACAGTCCAAGTTGCTTTAATCTTTATGGCCAGTTTTGTCCTTGATGAAAATCAGGTGAAAATGTAGTAACCACTGACATAGGGGTTGAATATCCCAGAGCAAAATTGTACAAGCCAAGCATCAGACATCTCCAGGTGCATTTTAGGGCTTTCCTCACATTCTGAAAAAACAAAAAACAGTTTGACCAAACATTTTCATAGTATAAACCTTCTCTGGATGTTGGGTCTGTACATGGAGATCTGTTGAGCTGGAGAGGCACAAATCATTTGTACACAATGGAACACTCAGGAGAACTGTATGAGAAGTTTGCTCCGGTTATAAATAAACATCAGGCCTCTATTGTCTGGACTTGAAGCAAGGAGGAAATGGGCTGAGCATCTGAAGCGGATGGAAGTGGCCGGATATCTTTAAACATTTTTTCAATTTTAAAAGTGTACTGTGTAATAAACATTTTTACTGATTATTAAATATGTAAATTGGGCTTCCAGCTATATCCTTAAATTGTATTGTATCATTACAAGAAAAGAATGCAGAATTCCACATGACAATTACTCTGTTGATGTTGTTGCACAGAACTCACCTTTCTCACTTTTTTGTATTTTTCCTTCTTCCTTTTCTTCTTCTCTTCTCGTACTTTCTCTCGCTCCTCATCATATACCATCAAAGGTTGATAATTTGCTGGTAAGAAGGCTAAATGCACCTCTTTGCGGCACCTGGCATTGGGGGTCCCAGCGTTGTTGATCCCATTCTCCAACTCAGGCTGACTGTCAGTGGAGGAAGAGTCTTCTGCACTGTCCACACAATTCAAATGGCGCTCATACCTGGGCCCAGTTATGTTGTCCCGCACTAAATTTCTTTCAAATAGTTGTGAGGCAAGAAAATTGGTCTTCATCTTGTAATACCTAGTGGTAAAACAGATTTAGTCTTCAGAAAGAGGTCAGGTAGGGTGTCAACAAACGTTTTGTGCCTGAGTGGAAGTACATTCCAGTGGACCGCCTTCTATGAGGATTTGGCACTGAGCCTTTAAAGGTATAAATCCTTCCTTCTCACAAGACCACCCTTAATGGGTTTTTAGGCTTTAATCTCAGATCCTTTTAAATCAAAACAAATCAAAATGACATTATTAACAGGAAAGAAAGAAAGACTAACATCACAAAACATACACCATGAAGCATAAGTAAATCAAGACCTATTTATTTTTAGTATAAATGTATAATTACGTAAAATATAACCATTACAATAACATAAAATTCTTCCTGAACATCAACAGTGCATTAAAACCTTTTTAGCAAAACCTCAAAACATGAAGTATAGAACGAAATTAAGCCAAACCGCCTCCTGTTAGCTGTGAAGCCACCTGCTGGAGGTGAACACACAAAATGCTACTGGTTTTTATGGTTGGCTGGTCCCAATGCAGCGCTCTGGCCACGGTCTGGATCTTTGAGGCGCAGGACACGAATGATTTTGCTCACCGGAAGAGATCTGGGGCAAAAACAAACATCATAAATTTCACTGTCAACAGGCAATTTGTAGATAAATGCACTGATGCCCTTTCCCACAGAATCTTAAGCACACATTTACAAGACCTTTACTGCTCCCCAAACACACAGCCATTTCTCAAAAGTTATGTTGTCATATAAGAACTAAAAAAACAATTGCCGTTTTCTTTGGGGTGGTCTAGTTGCTTTGATAATATAATCAAAATAAAGAATGTACTCTTACCCCATGTTCTGAGGAGTGAGGAAAATGAACTGTCTGTAAAGCTGGCCAGCAGCAACCTTCAGCATCATGTCCATAGAAATCCTCCTATTCACCATGTCCTTAACAACATACATACAAATTAATACAGTGGCAGGTGGTGAGGGAGTCAAGAAAACAAAATTTAAATCTTTACCATATAGACATCAAACTCATCAAGGCAGCGAAAAGGTGCCTCGGTGATGGCCCAAAGAGACAGAACGAAGCAGACAGTGGAGAAGGACCGCTCGCCTCCGGACAGTGAGCGCATGTCACTGAGGTCACCCTTGTTCCCTGAACCCGGCTGAACCTACAGATACACACACACACAACTGTAGCCTCTATTTGCTGTTGTTTGTTTTTTATGTTATATTTTAAACCCATCAAGTTTGTTTCTAACTTTTTTATGCTTACAGAGATGGAGAGGGTTTCATCCTTGTGGTTGAAGGTCATCGTTCCTGTGTAGCCTCTTTGAGCCAGCATGCTATCAAAGTAGTATTTACAGCGAGCTGAAAGAAATCTATCAAAAGGAAAAAACATTTTAAAATATATTTAAATTATAAACTAATTGAAATAACCAGTGTAATTAAATTAAACATACCTTCTGAGCTCAGCATAAACCTGCAGTCTGTGGTTCAGAACATTATCAAGGCTTTTGATAAAGCTGTTGAGGTTCTTCATCTGCTGTGCCATGTTTTTATAGTTCTCCAGAGCTTCCTGGTACTGCCTGCACCACAGTGTGTCAGTTAATGGCTTGTGTTAATAGGCTAATGTCAGAAGGAGTATTACAATTCCATAAAATATTAATTGCTAACAAACAACATGTTTAGATCACCATGTAACATGGTATCGTTTTGAAAACGCTATATTAGCCGAAAACAACATATTTACTGTTTATTAAGCATTTACTGTTTTTTAGTTACATTTTTACCCACTCTCCTTGCTCTCTGCACCAAGTCACTCCCCCTTCTATTACACCACTGTGCGCCTTCCACTAAGTGTTTTGTATCCTGCTTTTGTCTATTTTTGAAAAATTGCTCTGCGGGAGCATGGGTGACGTAGGCATTAGTGCTTGACAGAGATCACAATATCACATGTAAAAACTCTTGGCATGTTTTTGGTGAGGGAACATCCACATTTTGCATAATACCCCCTCTCTTTAAATGCGTATGCTATAGAACTTATCCATACCTTACAATTTCTTCACGATCGCCTTGTTGCTCCTGTTGAGTGCTAATCTTGACTTTGAGGCGGTTGATCTCACTATCCAAACTGCGGGCTGTCCGGCGCACCTCTAGACGCTCTGCGCAGATCTCTGAAGCTTTGGCAATTGAAGCCTGAGCAGATATGGATACAGTATTTGAGCATTTTTCTATCAAGTATAGCAATAATATCGCAGTTAAATAATAAAAAACAGCATATACTTCTAGCTCTTTCTCTTTGTTGTTGAGATTATTTTCCTGAGTTTGGATGTTCTTCAGGTGAGCAGCATGTTTGTCATCATAGTGTTTTTTATGATGTTTGCACTTCATCACTTCCTCATCTGTTTTACTCAGTTCATCCTGTAAAATCAAATATTACATGATATGGTTAAATATAAAGAAATGGTCATAATATTGCCCAGTGGTCATAATATTGCCCAGTGGTCATAATATTCATGCTTATGTTTACCTTGACAGAGTCTGCTTCCTCAGCAATAGTGTTGATATGGTCTTTGTGCTGCTTGTATTCCCGCTCTGCCTTGTCATACGATGCCTTCAGGTCAGCCATTTGAATCTTTGCTTCTTCATACTCTGTGCGTTTGGAAGTGATTTTAGAAACTATGTCCTGAAGATCTTCCTCCTGTAAATAAAGCCCGCAGTAAACATTACTTTTCTTATATTGTCAAAATACATTTCTGTTAATGCTATTTATAATCAATATATTTTACCAAAGGATTAAGATCTTCTGACTGGGGCTCTTCCACATTTTTCAGGTCAGTCAGCTCAAGCTGCAACTTAGTGACCTTGTCCTATAACAAACAAATAATGCATTAATGCATTTTGCACAAGAATAAAAATAAAACACTGAGTAAAAAATGTTTACTTGGACATTTTTCTGCTCTGCATGTGCTCTTCTCAGCAAAGAATCATTTTGTCTTATATCATCATCCATCTTCCTCAACTGTCGGTTAAAGCGAGACGACTGGCCACTCTGGTTTTCCAGCTCTCTCTGCAGGTGTCTGACAAAAATAATTACTAACACTCTCTCATATATATTCTGGTAGGCATCTCTTTTGTCTTACATACCTTATTTCTTCCTCCACATCCCCAGACAAGTAGTTGGCCCTGGTCTGGTCTGCGGCATAACTGCGGTTAGGGAAGACCTGGTCACCATCTTTAGAAAAAGCCTGGGTGCAGTTTTGAGGAGGGTTTCGGCCTTGCATCACTCTTCGTGCTTCTGTGCGATTCTGCACACGTCACCGGCCCAATGTAAATGTAAAACAAATACAGACAGTAGGAATACAGAACCAGTTATATTTTACTTACATGCACATGTATAAATGTATGGCTTCTTACCTTAATAAGAAGAACAGTTTCGATGCCCCTTTGGTCAATAAGGCAGTTGGCTACAGCTGGATCCTCAATCTCCAGCGCTTGAAGCACAGAGGGATACTCTGGATGATTCACACCTCTGATAAAGCGGCGGTATTGGAGTTACAATCTTTGAAACTGTGACAGTACAATGCATTCAGTACTAGTGAAAAAACTTGTTCACACCTCCTCGATGTGTCATGGATGTGAGGCAAAAAGGCACTGGTTATTATGGCGGGCCTTCGTCCTGATGGGAACACTCGAGCCATGAGCCCTTGCAGTACTTTCTCATCATAGTGGTTATCACATATGAAAGCTAGCAAAAGGTTTTTAAGACACAACTCCACTGCCAAAGCGTGCTCTGGGTCCTTCAAACTGATGAGAAAACCTACAAAAGAAGTGATAGAAGACTGATTTAAGATACTTTTTTCTGTAATGTTTATCGTTTAGTCTGGGGAGGAGTGTACCTAATGGTCCACGAGGAATGTGTCTGAACTGGCCTCTGCGGTGAGCCTCCTGTATGGCATTAAGAAGTGCAGGCATGTGCTCTCCAAAGCGGCGCAGGCGGTTGGAACGACTGCTCTCCAATGTTTGAAGGTTTCTTCTGTTGGCTACCATGGACCTCATAAGAGTATCATTTTCTCGCCTGTAAGCAGATACAATGTTCTCATACAGCATTTGAGCCGAAAATAAAGTGTATAAAAAGGTATGTTTATGGTAAATTAAGAATTTCATTTGAAAATAATCAATTCATTAGGCACAAAAAAATGTAGACACTATTCATTTACATATATAACAACCTTTATCATGTTTGTAGTTCTACCTCAACTTAGCTTGCTCTTCTTTAGCCCGGCTGCAGGCATGTTGGTACTGATCAATCTGCTGGCCCAGAGTAGAGATTTGGTGCCTCAGGTTGTCAAGCTCGGTCTCAATTTGTTGTATTTGCTCCATCCTGGCCTGGCTCTCAGCTCCTGTGGTCTGACTAATGCTACACACAATCAATCATGTTAAAGGAGTTAATATGGATGATGATGTTAAAGGGTCAGTATAAGGAGGATCATACCTCAGCTTCAGATCGTTTATTCTTGTTGAGAGTTGAACTTTGTCCTTTTCTAGATCTCTTAGATTTGCCCTGCATCTGTGAACAGTGACCTAAAGAAGAAATAATCAAGAAAAAAGACTTTTCAAACATGTAGTAAAAAAATAAGTGCATATGGCAGGTTTTAATGTAGTAAACATCATTATATTCATAATTTCACTATCACTGTCTAGTTTCCCGCAGTTTGACAATTCTGATTTACAATCTTACCTATGAAAAGTCCCATCAAATGAAGTAATCATTAGAAAAAACATGAAAACCTGCCATATGCACTTTAATGTTTGCACAAATGTGTGAGTATTTCTGACCTCGCTGGATTTTAGTAGAGAATTGCGCCTCTGAGCTTCAGCTTTCAGCTCAACACATTTAGGCTGGAGCTCTTGGACCTGCAGAGTGATCTTTTCTAACTGTTCTTGGGTCTGTTTGTACTTTTTCTCTGCCTCTTCAATCTTAAACTGAAGAAAATAACACACCCATTAGATTAGTGATGTTTACTTTTGACCCAAAGGACAGATCATGTAAACAACAATGGTGACCTAACAAAGATTGAGACATCCAGACAAATTAATTATAGTATCCAAAAATTTTAAAAATAAATAAAAATGCATCTCAATTTATTTTGACATTTTATAATGATGGTGAGATTTCAGAAACCCACCTTCCATTCTTCTACTTTCTCATCATATTTCTTTGTTGACTTCTTGTCAGCCTCAAGTTTCTCTTTTAATGGTTCCAGCTCCTTCTCCATTTCCAGCACCTGCCCCAAGAGAAAATCACACAGTTACTGTACTGAAAAAGGCAAAGGACGAGGGATCCAGTATGTGTTTTCACCAAAGCCCAGGCCATTTGTTTCTGCAGCTCCTCCAGTTTGGTGTGCATTTCGTCTAGAGATGCCAGGCTTTTGTAGCGGTCCTCTTTTTCAAGATATTTACGCTTTAAGTCCTTCAGCAACTGTCAAAAACACATGCTTGCAGGAAATCTCTAATATCTATACAGCTATTCAAAATACAAGACAGGTATGATGCAGGCATTTACTTCACCGTGTTGTTCCACTTTATCTTCTGTAATACGCTTTGTTGATTTGATGTGAACAAAATCTTCTCTCAGCTGCTCCAGTTGAGTAGCTTTCATGAAAAACTACACAAAAGAAAATGATTATTTAGATTTTCAACTATTAAAACAAACATAAAACAAAACACCTTAAAAATTAACCTGGTATTTGTCCCCTTCTCCTTTGGAATGAAGGAAATATTTGCTCATTTCTTGTGTGAGAATGGACACAGGGTTATTAACCTTTGGAAAAATACAACTGGCATTTAGTTAAGAGACATTAATGCCATATGGTCTGAATTAAAAAAATAATAATAATAATACATGATGAAATGTGCCTTTACAAGAACTGTACAAAAAACAAGGGAACGTGTATTAATTTCTAACACAACAACAACAACAACAACACTACACACTATTGACTGAACTATACTGACTGCAAACACAAATGACACAAATAAGCTTACCTGGATATTGAAGTTATCCAAGATACATAAAAGCTCATCCTTTTTGGTGGTAACAATTTGACCTGTTTAAAAGAAACATCTCAGTGTCAGTTAAACCAGTGCTAACATATTTATCTTACAATGTGAATCTACCTGTTTTGCTTTTTAATTTATAGGTTCTCAGCCCATCACATGATATTCTCATGTCTATTGTGATGGATGAGCCATACACTTCAGATTTATAAGCATCTCTTCCTTTGTTACGCAGGGTAATAGACACTTCTGCCGAGCTAAAAACAAAACACAATGAAACAAGCAATAGCAAAACTGAACAAAACCTTTAAAAAATGACTCCTTACCTTTCGCCTTCCTTGACAAAGCCCTTGAGTGCTACCCCTCTGTTTGTAGCTTGTGCATTTCCACCAAGGGCAACAATAAGAGCTGTTAGAATAGCACTTTTCCCACCTGACAAGAAAACATTTAAAACACAAAAAAATTTAAATATGTAACTTACAATATCATTATATTTTCAACCTACTTCTTTTTTTCAACTGTGACTTTTATTGCATGATCCATTTTTTCTTGAATAGTATATGATGATTAATTTGAATATGTCCAGTTATGTACATTTTTGACACTTGTATGACTAATATTTATTCAATATATATTAAATTTTTATATGCACATTGTTTTAATTTAATTTGAATCTACAGTTTTCTCCAGCTGTAACATTTTTAATAGCACTGTGCAGTTTCTCTGTTGAGAGGTCCACCACATGCTTGTCTCCATGGAGAGGTTATTTTAATTGCCTGAAATGAGTCTACTCGCACACTTAGACAAAAATGTGTAGAAGAGCAGAAAGAAAATGGAAAAAGGACAGACTTTATGTATCTTATGGAATACTTAAATCTTCCTTAAAGTGCTATCAGAAAGCGGTACAGTCTGCGAAAATGAATATTTTCCAACATCACTGAATCAAATGCTCATAAAATTCAAATCCTTTTCCAGACTCTAAACTCCCGACTACATCCTCCGTCCTCACATGCCTGCCTCACCAACTCAGTGGACTGCTGTGAACTAATCATGGATTTCTTTATGAATAAAGTATTCAATATTAGAGCACATATATTCACCCCCCCAATGCCCCCCTATGCTACCCACCATCTCACTGAATTCAGGCAAGTATTTCTCCCAGAACTAACTGAGGCACTTGCACATCTGAAACCCACTAGCTGCCACCTGGACATTTTACCTGCGACCTTCATTCATCTCCATGTAGTGGTGCTGTTCCTACATTCTTTAAACAATCTATTGCGCACCCACTCATTAAAAAGGCAAATTTGGACAGTGAAGATGTATCAAATTGTAGGCCCATATCCAAATTACCATTCTTGGCAAAAATTTGGGAAAAAATTGTGTTTGGTCAAGTTTCAGCTCATGTCAACAGCCTACACATCCTCGACAAGTTCCGGTCTGGTTTTCCAGTCTGCGCCCCTTTTATTTTCTACGTGCTCCCCCTGGGTTCAATCCTAGAGAAACATCAGGTTAAGTACCATCTCTATGCTGACGACACCCAGCTGTATTTTTCTGTTTCCCCAAAAAATGTCTCATCCTTTGCCACCCTACATGCCTGCTTTAATAATAAAAACACTGGATGTCCTTTAACTTTCTCCAGCTAAATGAAAATAAGACTGAAGTTATTCTATTTGGACCTTACACTGACACCCTCACATCTGACCTTGGGCCTCTTGCAACAAATATGCACAGTTCTGCAAAGAACTTTGGTGTCTTTATGGACTCTCTTTTAAACTTTGAGAAACAGATTTCAAATGTTGTTAAAACTAGCTTTTTTCAGCTAAGACAAATTGCCAAATTAAAACCAATCCCAACACACAATAACTTTGAAACAATCATACACGCTTTTGTAACAAATAGACTGGACTACTGCAACGCACTATATTCAGGCTTCCCACAGTCCTTCCTAAATAGGTTACAGTTAGTCCAAAATGTTGCTGCCAGACTGCTCACCAGGTCCAAAAAGAGAGACCATATTACACCCATCCTAGCCCAACTCCACTGGTTACTTATTAAATACAGAATTGATTTAAAATTGTTATTATTTGTTTTTAAATCACTTAACTCACTCAGGCCACAGTACATCACTGATCTTTTAACCCCCGACACTGCTCCCGGGACTTTCAAGTCAAACTCTCTCAACCTACTGTCTGTCCCACCATCCCGCCTCAAAACCAAGGGAGGCTGAGCTTTCTCTGTTGTTGCCCCCAAGCTTTGGAATGCCCTCCCTTTTCACCTGAGATCTTGCTCCTCCCTACCTCACAAATCCCTCCTAAAATCTAATTTTTTCAAGACGGCATTTAACAGCCCATGAGCTCTACCTCAGACTATTATCTTTGTGCATCAAGTAACTTTTTAAAAATATTTTATATTTGCGTTATTGTTTCACTATGTTGTGTTTCATGCTGTAAAGCACTTTGGTGCAACTTGTTATGGTTGTTTTTAAATGTGCTATATAAATAACACAACTTGACTTGAAATGTATCTTGCAAACCTAAACAGCATACATTCATACTGTGAGTGTGCCACTTCACAGATCTGACCTGTAATTTGACCTGGTGGACCTACATGCTCATCTCCATAGAGATAAAGAAATTAAGTGCTATACTGTTAAACATTGTAGGCAAAACTATAACATCTCCAAGCAGAGAGACAAGCAGGTGGCAGACTCTCCACCAGAAAAGTTACCCACACATCACATGTGCATTAGAAGAGTAGCTGTATTGAACTTACTTCCATTATTTCCAACAACAAAGTTTACATTGGAGCCAAATGCAAAAGGGCCGAGCAGCGAATGGCACATGAAGTTCTTCAAGGTGATGCTCTCCACGATCCCAACATCACTGACCACTTCACCCGCAGACAGCATCTACACACACGGGGATTCATTACAAATGCTAACACACAACCAATTTAGACTCATGTCAACAACACTGTACCGGTCCTGTCAGAAGGGGATCGTGCACTTCACTGTTGTCAACATTTTCGTCTCGCTCCTCTTCCTCCCCCGCCGGTTTGACTCGTTTGCTGGGGTTGTCATTTAGCGTGCTGTTTCGCCGCTTGGACATTGTGGATTAAAGATTTCCCTCAGCCTACCCTGGCAGAGAACAAAACGAAACCGGAAAAGTAAACAGACATGAAATTATACAGTTAAATAAATGGTCGCTTACAGATAATTTACGGATTAACCTACTTCCTTTTAGGAAAGTAAAGTTAAAGTAACTTAAAGTTAAAGCAACACGTCTGCATTCTGTCATTCCTAAAGTAACAATTAACCTTAGCAACGCATGGGGTAGTTCTGGCAGTTGGGATAGCTCCACAGGCTAAACAGTCAAACGCTTGTTAAAATAAAAGACAAGAACATAATTTCTTGTATCGATGCATGTAGTTTGGTATCGGGATTTAAATTGTGTTGGAGGTTGGGGCTTACCTGACTTAGCATAAAAACTCTAACCCCTCTCATGTGTTTTATTCGCGCCCTCCGCTCTTTCACCAGGCTGCAGAAACGTCTTCTTCTGCTGCTCTTGTGCTGATCACACGCCTCCCTCCGGTATACTTAGGTATTACAAAAACACTATGGCCCTCAGGACCTGAACGTCATACTTACTTACAACTTACTAAAAATGTAATTATATTGATAACACATCGTATTGTAATAATATCTATAATTAATATGCCAAGCCTACGTTGGTTCAGTCAAAGTTGTGTTAAAAGCATCCATCTAAATGGCCCATTGCATTGACCCCAAGCTGTGGTCCCTGCTTCCAGTATGTTTCAATATACGGTACTTGAAAGGAACGTGTACACTATGATTGTAGTACATTATATTAACTTTCCAGTGAGCATGGGCAACAAAAATCTATATCTTGATATTCAGTCTTTATTTAAGCTCTTGATATAACTTTCTACCTTTGTGAATGTGAAATAGGAAACAAAGTTAAACATTTTTTCTTTGTTTGTCCTCCAAAGCCAGAAACTTGTTGAGTTTGAATTCAAAGTCTATGGGGTGTGCACTCAGAGGCTTGTAATCTCCCTGCATGGTTGTAATCAGATAGGGAATAAGTGCACAATTCTCTTCAAACAAAGCCAACTTCTTCTTGTACTTCTGCCGAACGTAGTCTGTGCTCCGAGGGTTGAATGCTACAACACACAAAATGAAGCATGTTTCAGGGTTTAAGGTTGTTTTGCTCAGCTCAACAGCCTTATTTTGCTTACCTTTCAGATAGTAGGCCACATATAGGAGGGCAGACTTTTGTACACTGAGAAATGGATACTTTGGTTTAAGACACCCTACAGCAGTCACAGCCTTGATGACTGATACAGCAACCCCCTGCAGGTGTAAATTTTTTTTTCTTTTAAAATGACCTATACACAATAGGGACCTTTATATGTCAGGGACAAATTACCTGTTCCAAATAGCCCAAATTTGGAAAGGAGCTGACAGGTACAGGCTCACAGAGAGGAGGAATTTTCTCAGGCAGCCTCTGGTCCCAGTACATTTCAGGAGTCCTTCAGTTAAAATAGGACAATATAGTACAACTACAGTAACAAACATATAAACAATCAAGATTACAGAAATGGTCACCTTAAAAACTTTCCCTGTTTCTGCTGAGTCTCAAAGACATAGATCCGTTCACGATATTCAACGGCATATTCAGCATTTCCATGAACTAAAGCTTCATAACTGAAAATATAGTGTAAAGAGCATTTCTTATGTGGAAGAAAATGTAAATGAAGAATGTACCTTTGTTTTCCATCACGATAGGTGACAGGACAGAAACCCCTCAATTCTATTTGTTGTGGGAACTTGTTTTTCACTTGTATCCCATTAAGTTTTTTTGGCAGAAGGTGCGGAGGTGGGAGTGTGTAACGACTGTCCAGTGCTGCAAACTGCTCTGGAGTTTCTAGGAACATCTTAGAAAACAAACAAAAGAATCAGCACATTGTTATTATTTACAGTATCTTTTTTAACAGTGACTAAGACACTAACTTCCAAATGCTTTTCTTCACACATGGTGTAGTAATGCCCTCTGTATTCAGCAGCATCATGAGTCAAGTCTGTCGTGTCAGAGCAGTCCACTAGGTGATTCTCTAGGACCAGACAGACCGGACAGTAATATCCAAACCTCCCTATCTGACGCTGCAGCTCCTCTGGGGTGATGCACATCCTATTTATGCTGGCAGCTTGCCCTGGGAAATAAAACATTTAGGTGTCACTGAAAGTAAAAAAAAAACCATAACCTCAGATGTGAGTCTTACCACTGTGTGTCCTTTGCAGGTAGTTGTGAATATTTTTCACACATTTGCTAACTTCCTTTAAAATGTTTTTCCAGATCCACCATTTGCTCTTCGTAGCATCCAGTGGTATCCAGTTTTTGTGCTGTTGCTGGAAATATTTTCGAATTAACTCAGCTTCTTGTTTGAAACAGGAGTTACGGATGAGGAGGATCTCAGCACTGTTGTGCATCAAATATGGTTTAGGCTTCATCTTATCTCTTAGGCCTCTTTTTGAAACTTCCAGTGTGTCTAACTTAAGCTCTGCAACAACCATAGGAATGATGCTTCGAGATGCCATTAGCTGTGCTTGCTTAATGGTCATTGGGAATCCATCCAAGACATACCTACAAACAAGTATGATATATATGATGGTTTCATTGAGTGCATTTGTGAGGCTCAAAGTGTACGCTTACCCCTGAACATTGTAGACTGAGCACATTAGAACAGTTTCTAAAGCTTGAATGGCCAGTTCATCAGGCACAATCTGGCCTTGGTTGAGATAATTTTTTATTTGAACACCAAGGTCTGTGTGTTCATGTGTCTCCAGCATCATGCGAAGAGCACAGCCAATTGAAAGTCTAGTCAAACCATACTTTCGGGCAAACATCTCTGCAACTGATGAAACAAACCACCAAAAAAAAAAAAACATATTATACCAACCATAAGAATTTGATGAGTGAACATTTCAGAACATACCTGTAGTTTTACCGGATTTTGGAGGTCCAATGACAGCTAATCTAATGGGAAGCGATGGGGTGGGTTTGGGCTGGCGTATGTATTTCAAGGGGTTCAGGATAAATGTGTTGCGGTTCTCTTTAGATTCAAAGAAATAGACAAAATGGTTGAAGATCAATGGATATGAACGATCAAAAGGCCATAGCTGTGGATGTATTATGTCTCTTTCATTATACAGCTGCAGAAAGAATAATACCATTGTAAATGCACAGTTTATTATTTTTTATGCATCTTATATATTTTAATATGAAACACCCACCTGAACTGGATCCCAAAAGCCAAACGCACTGCAATATTTGTAGGAGGAGGACAGCAATTTGTGGGCTTGGAGACATGTAACTGGTTGACATTTTTGAAAGAGTGATTCTCTATTGTTTAAAAGTGGCTGTACATGGTTGAGTAACTGATGCCGCGCTTTTTTGGGCTTGCCTCCTGCATTAATAGAAATTATTGGTATGTTCTGCTCACTTAACAGTTCCTGTGTTAATGGAAAATAACTATTAGAATAAAAATATTAAATTTATAAGATAAGCACAGGTTAATATTAACTATGTCATACCATCATAACACTAATGCCGTTTTCATCTTTTGCAAATCGTCTGGCTATGTCCATCTGCAGGCGTTCGGTGGCCACTTCCTCTGTTTCTTCATTGTCCAAGTCGTCACTGTGCTCCTCTGGGGGGAACTCCTCCTCTAGCATAGCCTCAATATCGTCCTCTGGGTTTTTTTCATCTTCGTCCTCGTCTTCATCATCATCCTCATTATGACCTGTCACCTGTAGACCAGTGTCAGTGAGGACAAGTTTTCATAGAATAAGTTTCATCTATTGATACTTTGTAGCTGATGTCAAAAACATTGCCTGGGACACACAATCCAAGTCAAGACATTACACAGTCTGACCATAAAGAAATTACTTCTCTGAACCTACAACAGGTGAGCTGATTTCTGCTGTTAAACAAGTCTCTTATACATACATTTACAGTAATACAATAGCATTAGCCAGTAGTTTTTTAGTGTGATGCACCAAAAAACACCTAAACATGACCATAGGCGCATGAGTTTTGAGACTGTCTTAAAACTTTTTTAGCAGCATTTGCTAATGTGTGCATTGTGTCTCCATGGTAACAGCTGAACATTTGACCATAGAGATACAATTAGGTGGAACCCCCAACATGATGTCACTGCAAATTATCAAAATTAATCATACCTTTGTATTAGGGAGCATCTCTGCCATTAGTTCAGCCCTTCTTGCGGCAATGCCTTCTTCCTGTGCACAAAATGTCATATAACTATTTTTTTTTAAATTACCAACATCTTTTACCAAATAATTTTGAAAAACGTACTCGATTTTTCTGACGAAGTTCCCGCAGTAGTTTCAGCTGAGCTTGCCGATGTCTGCATTGCTCCCGCCAGTTCTCAAGATATTTTGGCAACAGACGTACTTGTATCTCACTGAAATCCACCCCCAACGTGACCACAGCATCAGGGAAGAGCTGCTGCTGTGCAAGGTAGTCCACTTCATCAGAATTAGAAGGAAAACCCTCCAAAATAAACCCTGTAGACCTTGGTCATATAGGACAACCGATGGAAAAAAAATTTATTTGATTTCAGATGTGTAAATTTCAGGAAAACTACAGTGGAACAAGAAAAAATATATGAAACTACAGTATAATAATTAATACTTACATGTATGGCTCCAGTTTCCAATAAGGGATGAGGACCATATCCAGTATATGTGGACTAAGTGGTTCTCCGTCAGACAGGTAAGATACTATTTGCTTTTCGTCATCTGTCAATTCGACTTCCTTCTGTCAAAAGCAATCAAAAGGAACAGAATATATGTCTTTGTGGTTAAATATGTGTAATATAAAGTTAGAGAGGTGAATGAGCAATTTGCCATTGCCTCTTGTATATGGTCAGTGTCCCCTTCACTATCCATCTCTCCTCTGGCTTCTTTGATCAGTGCATCCAAGTCTTCAGTTGGTTCTTCAGAAGGCTCCTCTTCATCAGAGTAGGTCACTGCCTTTTTGGTCTTTTCCATGATGAGCATCTGCAATATCTCCCTGAATTCAATGTAAAACAGGCCAAGCTGTTGGGCCAACCACTTTCCATTAGTGGTCTTCCCCGATCCTCGAGTGCCAAGCATGAGCACCCTTAAAGCTGGAGGCTAAACAGAATAATATGTTTACTGTATCTACATCGTATGCTAAATATAATCAAATTGACATGGTCCTTTATTATTATTACCTCCAGTAGATCAGTCTGTGCCACATACTGTTCAGGATTTTCAATAAAATAGTCCTTAGCCTCAGGACTGGAAAAGTAGTAGATTCTTTCCTTGAACTTGGCTGCGTTTTCATCATTACAGGGGACAAGGACATTGTGGTTTTTCAAAGCCACAGGACAAAAATGATAAGTGTCACCAAATAATCTTGTGATTGAAATCTTCCCCTAAAAAAATACAGTTGGAAATTAATGTTACAAAAAAACAAAAAACAAAACAAAACACATAACTGCAAAACAACCCACAATATTACTACATGCATGTGTGGTAAATTAATTAAAGTATGTTCATATATTATAATTGCTGGGTTTCAGATGATGCCACAACATTCTATAGGCCAATATTATTTAATACAAATGGGGGCAGCTAAAATTTATATTGTTCAACTGCAGATTTTTGTTGTAATATAGAATGGTCTTTGGTCTGGTCAATAATAGAAATGATCAGCTAATTTGGGAATATATGCTTCTGATATATCATTGCAAAGTACAATGTAATTAATAGGAAAAACCCATCTACGAGTATGACATCATCTCATTCTAGCATCTGAAAACCACCAATACACAGAATCACATTATTTAATTATGCCTATTGATGGGTCAGGAACCAGATTAAATACCTTTACCTAAATGGGAATAATATCAACACAAACATTTCACATCTGCAGCACATTAATGCTTACAAATACAAAACAACTTACTTCACCCTCCTCCTCTGCCTCCTCTTCATCATCACCTTCCTCTTCTCTCTGCAGTTCGGCCATGTCCTCCGCCTCTTCATCCAGGTCTGCCCCTGTCAGCTCGCTGGCCACATACTTGAACGGTTCTGGTGAAAGGCATGACAAGAAGTGGTGAAAGTATTCAAAAAGTATTCAATTTTGTTACTTAAGTAAAAGTACAGATACCAGAGCAGAAAAATTCTCTAAGTAAAAGTATTAAGGTACCTGTTTAAAAATGTACTTAAAGAGTAAAAAGTAAATGTATTTCACTCAGATTCTGAGGTCTTGTAAGGCTTCAAAAGTACTGATTCTGATAATCAATTATGAATGATTCTGATCAGTTATGAATGTATAAAAAATAAAACCCCTCAGCCTTTTCAGCAGGTCTCAAACTATAATATACTAAAAATACTTTTACTTTTCAGTTCAGTTAAAAAAAAATGTAGTGGAGTAGAAAGTACAGATACCTCTCCAATGTAGTGAAGTAAAAGTAAAAAGTATCCACTGGAAAATGTACTTAAGTAAAGTAAAGATACCTAAAAATTTTACTTAAGTACAGTACTTTAATTTTTACGTCATTACCTTCCACCACTGACAACACTGATTGTATTAATGTGTTGCCATAAACACTTTACATTTGTTTAAAGAAAAAAAAAAAAAAAAAAGACTAACTTTCCATTTCAGAGACCGCTTCCTCCAGTAGTTCTCCAGGTTTCTTTCCACTTAAATCCAGAAGTATGTAGGTGACATTTGAAATAACCTGCATTTGATCCCAGTCATGCATAAACTGTTGAAGATGCTTTTTGTGCACATTCATCTCAGGGACATCTGGATAACCAAGCTCCCAATGATCAGGGAGTTCAACTGGAGAAACACACATAAGTCTCAGCTTTCAGAACACTGTTTAAAGATGTGATGTTATATAGAGGAGTTTAAGTCATCTTTACCTTCTTTGGTTTTAGATAGGACATAGGTGTTTATATCATTTAGAGGAGAACCATCTGGAAAGCACATAATCAATAGAAAAGTTACCCATAATTTGAAATATTATGATTAATCATTAATATAATTTAAAATGTCTTACCATGCTGATACTCCTCTATCCTCTCTTTAGTATTAGAACTGTCAGCAACAGGCTGCTGAGAGATTTCTGAGGAGACAAGATTTACAATAAAAAAAACTAAACAAAAAACACTAAACTATGCAAACGAATTAAAAACTAAATTCACACCCAGTTTTTCAGAAGGCCCTGAGCTTTCTGTTATCTAATTTTTTTCTAGACAATAGAAAAAAATAACATCATAAACCCTTTAAAACATTAACACCTAAATGACATACAGCACAGCTCACCTTCTGCTATTGCATTGGCTGCAGAATGATCAGACTCCAATTGCTCAGGCACCTCTATAAAAAGTAAAAAAAATAATAATAATAAAAATTACACCTTGTTTGAGGATAAGCCCCTCAAGATGTTTTGCCATCTAATTTTTTATGGTGTCCTCTTCTGTTAATTTCCAAACAATTAAGCAATGAAATATCACACCTTCTTCTTCAATTATTTCTGAAAGTGTGTCTTGGCCTGCATCAGATTGCTCCAGAGATTCTGCATAAGAAAACCCAATTTCTTTATCAGTAGGCATATACACAATTACAAGACAATGCACACATAATACAATCAAAATTATCATACCTTTTTGCTGGTTATTTATTTTTTGTGTTTCAGAGCTATCTATGTCTATGTCTGTCACTGGATTTTCTATACAAAATATGCAAAAGCCACCATTACAAATAAATTATATCATTATTAAAACATGACAAACATACCCTCAGTTTCTTCTTTCTCATCAACAGACTCTAGATTTGACAATACTTCTGCAACTTTGGCTTTTTCCTCCTCCTTTATTTTCCATCTTTTAAATTGAGGACATCAACAATAAAGGTAAATAAAAAATAAATAAATATTTAAAAAATACTCACAACGCCTCTTTTTTTTCCTTCTCCAGATGTTCTTTCTGTAGTCTGGTCTTTATAGCTTCATCCACATTGTCCTTGTGCTTCTCATATAGTCTTTTCAGTACTACTCAACACAACAGTTACACGATAAATAAGTGATACAAAAACTTAGGGATTCCTATGAGACAGAGTTACATACAGATGTTTTCTTCACCATCTTGAAGACAAAACAGGACATCGGGCAAGATTCCAGCCTGATGTAGCACCTCCATTTCTGTAACATTTCTAGGAAAGTTGTCCAGTACCCAGCCACTAGGGACATCTGCACCAGTGTTCATCTTTTCTATCTGAAAACAAAACTTTATAAGCAACCTTTTCAAGTTCAAGTTATTTTAAGTGCTACACATACATACCTCCTTTATGCGTTTCTCCAGTACCAGTATGTACTTGTCAAGCTGTGATAAAGTGACCTGCTGGGCTTCTTCTACGGCTGTATGCACCAATGCCTGTACTTCTGGGTGGTCGGCTGTCACTGTACATATTGAATGTAATCCTTAGCATAATATTTATTACACTTGCACACCAAGCATGTATGCAGTTTAATTTGTGGTAATAATAGTATGGCCATTGTTTTACTACTCTTGCCTATTTTATCTGTGTTAAATGTTTGATGTATAGCTGATGTAGTAGTACCTTGAATATGCTGGGCTTCATCTGTAGGAGAAAAATGCAATCACTATAGTCAACTTCAATTATAATAATATGGGATGAAAAGTATAGGTTACACTTGCCTGTACCTTCTCCATCATCTGCAGATAGCATGGCCTGTATTTTTTCAATAGCTGAAACGGTAGTCTCCTGTTTGATTCTCTCCAACCTCTCTTGTTCAGCTTGTTGGAGCAATGTCTGTACCAACGTGTCCACATCTAACACTTGTGCATTATAATGTTGGGCCACAAGGTTACACAGCGTGCTCTTCCCTGATAGAGAGGGACCAATAATGCAAACTCGACATGGAGGTCTTGGCATTGGAGGGGCTAAATATTTTCTTGGATTTACAATGAACTTCTCATATGCCTCTGCATTGGAAAGGATGTACATTTTGTCCTGGAAACTGCACAGTAAAAGTTCATTTTAAACAGACCAATTCTCTCTTATAATGTTAATACATTAACTACAAATATTTATAATGTATTGTAAGCCATGTAAAGGGCCGTTCACACCAAGGCGTCAAAGCGTCCACTTTCAATGTAAAGTTGATGTGGACGTGCGACTAGAGCGTCCTGCGTTTTTGCGGCGCGTTTTCGGCGTCAGCGCTGCGCGAATCTGGCGTTGACGCGGCGCGTCTTGAGCGTTTTGACGTCAGCGGTCTAGACGCGCGTCCAAGGCGTCAGCGTCAAGAAGTTGAAAATGCTGAACTTTTCGCGTCAGACACGCGGCGTCAACCAATCAGAGACGAGTATCCAGTGACGCAGCGACGTTATTATCAGGAAGCAAGACCCGAGAACCAGAGCGAGAACCACAAACATGAGCGGAGCATAAATATATACACCACAATACACCAGGACCGGACCAGGACTAAACCAGGACTAGACCGGGACTAAACAAGGACTAGACCGGGAGTAGACCGAGACTAGACCGAGACTAAACAAGGACTAGACCCTGAATAGATTAAACCACGACTAGACCGGGACTAGATCGTGATTAGACCAGGACTAGACCGGTATTAGACCAGGATTAGACCGGTATTAGACCAGGACTAGACCGGGACTGATCCAGTGTCATTAGCGGAGTATAAATATATATACGCCCCAGTCGTCGACCCGATCTCCTCCGCTGATTTTTTATGTCATAAAAACACTCTCTCAGTCTGGTCTGACATTGTTTCGGGAAAAGACCGGGACCGGGCTCTTGTTTCCAGGGTAACGGACGCGCGTCAAGTATTTTTGTCCTGTTCGTCCACGGCGTCAAAGACGCGCCTCGGGGGCGTCTAAACTCAAATGCAAAGGCCTCCAAATAGAGGCGTCAAGGCGTTTTTTGACGCTTTGGTGTGAACGGCTTACTCTGTAGTCTAATTAGAGGACCTTGGTTCACGTATATTTCTTAATTTATTGTGGATTGATACAAAAAAATGTGGTACATTAATAAATTCTATTTTGTGGCTAAAAAGTGTTAAAATTAATATTAGTTTGCACAATGACGCTTACCCCACACAAAAATCAGGCACGCCTGGGACAACTTTGCCCTCTTTCAAAGCTACAGGACAGGCTCTTCCCCAGCGACTTCTTCTCCATCTGAAACCTGGGGCTACAACTTTTGAGGAAGACATTGTTCTCATAAGGTCTTCCTGTGTGTGAAACATTTAAGCTACAGGATAGACTTTTTCAAATTGATGTTCACTCATTACATTTTATTTAAAAGTCAAACCGTATCAGTGTCCTCTGGAAGATTATCATCTTCATTGCTGAGAAGAACAGGAAGTGGTGCATGGTGAATGGCCATAGCTCCAAGTCGAGACATTACATGCTAGAAAATAAACAATTTTCAGGACTATAGACTTTAGTTTTCTTCTTTTCTTGTGGAAAACAATAGAATAGTATTTATTGCCTCCTGCTGAGCAGGGATTTGCATTATAATATGACATATTTAAATGCTAAGATATAATTTTGTAGACATGTGATTTGTGTAGTTGTGTCCTCAGTTGGATGATTATGGTTGGATTATGTGGCATGTTTCTTACCAAGTGTAGATCATCAGGTTTATCATTTCCATCCAGCTCCAGTAGATGTAGAGGATTGTGTCGAGTGATATAGTCCTGACAGGTTAAAGTTACTTAAAATAAAAAGTATATATATTTATTTTATTTTATTTTAATCATGGTGTACCTCTAAAGGTTTAAGCATAATTTCTTTGTAGGTGTTAATTCTATGGTCCATATTATCTTTTAGGTGTTCTGGTCTCCACACCATCTGATCGATCATTTCTTTTTTAATCTCTTCTTCCACCACCTACATAAAATAACATAAATCAGGCATAAGTGAATTCACTCAAGTTAAGGTGTTTTTTCTCAGCCAGACTTCATCTTCTTCCTCTTCATCTTCATCTGTGCTTTCTTTTTCCTTCTTTGAATTGGAAACAACATCGTCACGCATCCATTCATCTCTTCGGTAAAATTGTCCTGTCTCTGGGTACTGCCTCAGACCTGAAAGCCTATCTGCTAAATCACTGTCAGAACACTATTGAAAACAAGACAGAAATATTACAAACTTTATATTTGACTACTTTAACATAAATAATAGTTTGAATTACATTAGTAGTTAGGGAATGTTACCTTAATGTTTATGATGAAATCAGGAGGTAATTTAAGGTTTTTTAATAATTCAATCTGTTCCTTAATGTTCAGACAGCGCTCAGACATAGAGGGCAAACAGCTCACAACATAACCTGTAACATAAAATGATCAGTAAAACATAAATATATAAATAATGGTATCATCAAGTGCAAATGATTGATTTACCATAGTGCTCTACTTCAGGTGAGTTCAGTTTTTCAAGAATTAGCTGAAGCATGATGTCTTCAGGTATGCTTTGTCCATGATATAAGATTTCCAAGAGCTACAATAAATACACCAACAGTATTGCCAGCATTAAAGAAAAAAAAAAGCATGAATGAACAAAATAACCCATACCTCTAAACCAACTTTTGTTCTGCGTGTGATTTGAGTATTGAGGACATCTGTATCTAAAATGTAAAAACATGTTACAATTTACGATTTCAAAGACCTAAGATAATGCAAAGGCTATTGCTATAATAACTAACAAACCATCTACGAGGATGCATTTCCAGGAGTCTGCAATTTTCCTTGCCAAAGTTGATTTACCAACACCCTGACAAATAGATATAATAAATATATGTCCCCAAGGTTAATAACACATTAAAGGAATGGACAGTTCACTTACCGGTCTACCCACTATGAGAAAGCAAGGTGGTTTAGAAAGTAGCCTTTCTCTTTCCGCTTCATCTTCAATTAAAATATCTGCCAGAGGGTCTAAGATACAAACATATGCAGTTGTAAATATCTTTCATAAATAGTGAAACAATTAGAATATTAGAAATCGATGTGTCTAACTCAAAGTCTGTATAATAGAATGAGCTATATATTCTACGAAGGCAACTTTAGGCTATGCCTTATTTGTCATTGTTTGTTAGTTAAAGTAGTTAGTTGAATTTGACTTACCGCGTTCAGGCATGTTTAATGACACGATATGAAAATAATGAAACTTAAGCCATCGGCTTTGTTAATGGGTATAGTAAATTTACGGTTTAGTACGATTAGTTTATGCTGACTCAAACAACGCTTGACTCATTTCATCGAGTTAAAAAAAAAACACGGTAACCATGACAACAGGCAAACTTTAGCAACAATGCTTTAAAAAAACTTTTCAATTTTTTAGATATATATTTCACAAATGTATGTATTTATAACCACAATATATTAACTAAAGTAACATCTACAATAACTCCATAACATTTCCCCAAACATAATTTCTGCGGCTTTTTGACTCTGTGAGCCACCGTACGTAACTCCGCTGTGTCTGTAGTGGATTGTCACCTGACCACCACAACAAACCAGCAATCGCTTACTAAATCAGGATCTGTGCTTGCCGGGAAACTGCTTTTGCAGAAATGAAATACGACAAAAATAATAAATGATTTGTAGACAAATGAAGACCAGCATATCAACACGGGCTGACAGTTAAAACGAGTAAGTAAGTCGATAAACTAGCATGAAAGCTATGATAGGTCATGTGATGTGGGAGATTTCTTTCTGTTTAATATTATTAAAATCCCTGTTATAGCGCTTGTGTTACCTCATGTGTTACTTGTGGATCGTCAGGCTACCTGCGTAAAAGAAGCAAAATGCCCCAATCAGCGGCTATCATCAGTGGTATTCAACGAATGGTCCTGTATGAAACAAGAGCAGTGAGTCTGTCAATCATAATCATCTCATGTATGGGGATATCTCTGCTGTAAACGTCCTTAGTGAACACTAGGTATTATGCACAAACAGATCCATATGACAAGTTCATATTAGAGTGTTAAATTACTTTTATTATTATTATTATTATTATTAATTTCAATAGAAAATCACTAGATGGCACTATAACAGAGATATATGCTTATGAAAAGTGCACAAACGACAACAAGGGCATCAAAAAGCACAACTCATGAGTAGATGGCTAACCTTAAAGGAGTTTTAGAAAAGTGCATAATTCTCCCATTTCTCATCCCATCTGGCATGATGTGGTTGAATAGATTTTGCTCCTGTACTAGAATCTGAGATCATTTCAGATGGAGGGCACTGTTTGTTTTTTAAATCTCTCTATGATCAACAAATGCTGAACCTAATCTTTATTTGTTAGAGGTCGGTATGACAAGCTTGCCGTATTAATATTGTGGCTTAAAGTAAATTCAGCTGACAACTAACCTGTCATCATTTTCTGAAGTATTATTGAAAAATAATTTAACTTTTGTTTGTATATCCTGACAGAGGACACATCAAAGCAGAGAAAATTCTCCATAGAATTCTGATCTGTTCTGCACCTCTGTTTTAAACTAGAATTTGGTGAATCAAACATATTGCACTATAAAATAGGGCTGCAAGCTTTATCTCTATTGTATCTAAATTTGCTATTTTAGTGGTCACAATTACCAAAATACAAATACATGGCACATAACATAACTAACTAACAAGCTAAATAACTAGCTTCATAAATAAATAAATAAATAAATAAGATGCAGTTGAAACAAGATAAAGCATAAAACTTACAATGCATTCAGAACAAATGAAATCACAGAATGTGTCCCGTACAAATAGCCTTTATATTTTGTCCTGCCTGACAGCCAGAAAACTTAATAGACAGTGGAAAATGGGAACATCTTGTATCCCTGTTCTAAACCATGTTGTCCTGTTCTACACAACTCCTGAAGGTTTTTCTTTTCTTTTGTGTTGTACTGCTTGCTCCTTTTTTAAATAATAGTGGGAGGAATGTAATTAATTTTATTTAATATTTCAGAGGTATTTTCTGGTGGGAAGCAATCAAGCACAGACAAGGCACCGAGTCTTAAAGATAGACCGTACTGAACCTAAGGACCTGGTCATAATTGATGATAAGGTGAGATTGGAGTTTCCCTCAGAGCTGCTACAGTGCTAATGTATATGCTTATGTAATACTCTAGAGAAATGCCCGGAGTAAATTGTACAGTCAGTTACTCCAACTGCCCCTAGAGTATTGTTGATCAAATTTACATGTTATTTTGCCTTGGTACTCATTACTAAGATCTATGTGTTTCAACTTTAGCAGTCTGGTTGTTACATTTGTGGTTTAAAAATTAATCATATTTTTCCAATCTCTTATTTAGCATGTTTATAACCAGCAAGAAGTACGCGAGTTATTGGGAAGGCTGGACCTAGGGAATCGCACTAAGATCTCTCAGAAGGGTTCTTCAGGCCTGTCCCGGGCTGTCTCTGCATATGGTATTGTAGGTAAGCATAAAAATAAAATAATTTGTTGTCCATAATTCACTGCTCATATGCATTTATGGGATTTTTGGGAAGAGAAGCCTAATTTAAAGGAGTGGACTTTTTATGAGTTGCTTGAATCCTTACATTTAAAAAAAAATCCTCATTTATATCAAATTGCAGTATTTGATATGATTAAAATGACATCTTGCATAAGAGTCAAATGGGACGGTCACATCGACACAGACATTTGGATGTGAGTTTGTCTGCTCAAATTAAGGAAATCAAATTATCAAATTTTCCAGGTGCTCAGTGCCTCCTCCATTCACAAACAGCTATTTACAATGTCAATGGGTCATATGTTCTTAAAGAGTGCAGTCTGCTCTGAGAGCACCACTGACTGATACTTTTTACATTACACCTTGTAATGATTGCCATTATCTTAAGTATATTCTTACCTGCTTTCATGCACACTGGCTCAGACTTTGTCAGGCTGACCCCTTCTCTGACAGGAAGAAGATAAATTAACTTTTTTTTTTTTTATCAATGGATGAGTCTGTTTTGAAGCCACATGAGTATAACTGGATCATAAATGGAGTTTGAATATTTGCTTGTTTATCCTTCAGTCTAGACACCCTGTACTATGTTTATACCATAGACTGTATATATAAATAGACATTGCTAACCCACTAGCCCCATGTTCCAAATAGGAAGTATACATGGAGACTCTTCTGGCTTCTTCGACTCTGTTTTCCATTGACTTTACATTGAGAAACTGTCACCCTTTTTCTGTAACCACTGCAGTGAGCCTTATCATTTTGGTCTTAAAATGCTCACATTGTGAACTTAATTTAACTGGAGCTGAACACAATGTGTGACGTTACTCTCCTTTTGTCCACTTCTTTATACAGTGTATGGTTCATACCCTCACACACTTGAACACATTTATTGTCATCACTTTCTTATTTCTCTTTGTTAATTGTCTTCACAGGCTTTGTGCGATTCCTTGAGGGCCATTATATTGTCTTGATCACAAAGCGCAGAAAGATGGCTGACATTGGTGGTCACTCTATTTACAAAATTGAAGACACCAGCATGATCTATATTCCCAATGACTCGGTCAGGGTCACCCATCCTGATGAAGCAAGGTGCTGCAAACTTCCACACAATTTGCCTTATTTTATTTTGATCTTAAATACATAGTTTCAAAACCCATCGCACACTCCAGTCACAGTAATAAGGGTGGTTGCAGCAGAAAGAACATCTGTCTTAAAATCATATATATCATGTTTTTACATTTTTCCTTTTAGATATGTGCGAATCTTCCACAATGTGGATCTTTCTAGCAACTTCTACTTCAGGTAATTTTTAAAATGTATATTTACAAATAGAAAGCTGGTATTTTCTTTTTAAAACACACTGTCAGTTGTTGGAGCTTGACTTCCTCCTTTGTTACATGAGTGGCATTGGAGGAAAAAAGGTTTGTTTATTCTAATAAATGTTTCTGTCACGTGTCCTGTGTACTTGCAGCTACAGTTATGACCTGAGCCACTCTCTACAGTATAATCTGACTTTACTGCAAAGACCTTATGAACTGTGGTCATCCTTGCCTGTGACATCTGATGATGAGTTACATACAAAAAGCAAACAGGACTGCTTTGATATCTTTGAAGATGAAGGTCTGCCCACACAAGGTGAGTAGAGCCGGAGTCAATTATAAGATTTCTCTGTATTTTCCACTAGTCAAAGTGACTGCACTGTCACATGGACATCGTTTAATGACCACATGGTTCAGAGTGGTAAGTACTGGACTGGTGACATGGGCCCAGCTAATTTTGAAATGTGATGGGAATAAAATACACCTACATTTAACACCTAGAAGGAGAGGAGAGAATGATGGACAGTCTGCATGTGAGAAAATGTGGAGAGCGTAAATTTAAATGAACCATTGACTGAGTAATATGTATGCAACTGTGTAATTGGGTGCATGTTTTTATGTTTCTCTGTAGCATAAAAAATGCAAGATGGCGTAGAAATAATCCAATTAAAATTAAATAAGTAGACTGAAAAAAGGTTTTTGTTTTTAATGTTTCATCCACTTTGCCACTTCACCTTTTTCCATTACTTGATTGACAATTGAGACTGATGCCATTTAAGTAATCCATTGGTTTTAAGTGTGCCCTGCTCTTCCGCCACAGTGGTTTATGGCGTCCGGAACGAGCCGTACCACAAGTACGTTTGGAATGGCAAGCTGCTCGAGCGCATCAAGGACATTGTTCATCCGGACTGGCTCATGTACATAATCCACGGCTTCTGTGGCCAGTCCAGTATCCTTTCTGACTCCAGTGTGACATGTATAAAGTTCAACATTGTTTTGATGTGCACTTGTCTAATGGACTAATGAGTTAGTACTCTACTTGAAACATTTACTTGCATGTAACAAATGTCTAGGGACAATTATTTAGTTTCTTAGTTCAATAATCTAGAGAATTCAAGATGGTGGCAAAAAATTGAATTATCTTCAGTTCAGTTCTTCAGCAAAGTAATATTTTTTTGTTTGTATTTTGGATTGGTGTCATCAGGTTTTTTTTGTCCTCACTGTGCCTCATTTCCCTCGAAAAGTTTTGCACTATTGATGCATGAGCTGCTGATCATGATGCCTTTGGCTGGACTGGAGATGATTTATGACATTAGAAGTGACTTTGCTTCCATTAGTTTCTTTTTTTTTCTTTTTCTTTCACGTTAGTCATTACACAAAGAACTTGTTTTTTTGTGGTACTTGTAATTTTCTCTAAACTGTGAAACAACACTTCCAGTCAACAGTGCCATCAATGTTGTTGTTGCCACTCTTCCCACTGCGTGGGTGCTTTGAATTCAGACAGTTCCTGGAAACTGAGCTTTATTTCTGGTGAAAATCTGTGCATCAGTGGGTAACATAAAGAGATAAATATGGCATTCTGTAAGCGAAAAATCACGAGTCCTCTTTAATGGCTTAAATATAGGTTA